TTAAATATTTGATTTTAATTTGTTTATATTATTTAAAAACTAATATAATATTTATAATTTTTTTATATTTGTAAAAATAACCAAATCAATAATATTAGCAAAATTATATTTAATATATAATAATGGTAAGTATTTTTAATTACATAAATATATATGAAATATTGTATGATGCAAAAAAATAACTATTGTTAAGATTTTTATACATTAATTTCATAATCAATATATCCACATTCTTAAAAGAAAAGTACTATTATTTCTTATAGTTATTAATAAGATTTCCGTTTTAAAAATTTTTAATTTATATAATTTTCAAATGATAAATTAATATGAGATAATAATAAAAATAAATAAGAAAAAATTTAATTATAATTCAAAGAGTAAAATATATTTTGTTTGCTAGCAACAAAGTAAATTTAAGAAAACACTCTTTCGTTGGTAACAATGATGCCTAACCTGTCAGAAGTAAAGTAGCAGATTGGAATTGTAGTGAGTTTTGGGTACATAGATACAACATTTTAGGTTCGCGGTTTTACTGTGCTTGTCATCGTATAGAGCACAGAAGTAACAAGCAGATGCAGTGTAAATTTCTTGTCAAAGCGTATGTAGAACAAAGTATCGGTGATTGTTAAAAGTAGCCACCACGTTTTCACGAGAACTCCCTTGTCCAACTCTGCCTGTTATGCGGTGGTGAACGTCGACAGGTGAGTGCGCGCTTTCTATCTCACAATATTTCCCTCGTTCTATCAACGGAAAAAGTTTTCTCTTATGGCAATGGGTTGCAATGATGTTATTTCTGTCAATTGCTTTTTATGGATCTTCAATGACGGATGGTAGTGTTGTAGCACGAAGATTTGCGATGTTCTGAAGTTTCCTGACGAAAAATTCGAGCTACTGCTAACGATGTGCATCCTGATGTAACTACATCGGTATGGATCTTCCGATTACCGATTAACCTTTTATGCTCAAATGAATTTTTTTTCTTTTTTTTTTTATCATTTTTTTATTATTTTTTGTTTCTCATAAATGTCTTTATCCAATCGCATTCACAGACACTTTTCTTTAATGCTCTTCATAATGCACAACGTTTTTACATAATTTTATTTATAGTTTTACAAAAGATTTCAACAGCTTTAAATGTATATATAAGCAAATGATTGTGACATTAAAATTTTAGAATAACTGATCATTAATTGAAATCATTAGATGTAATAGAATATTTTAAAATTTATTGCAACCATTAAATATGTTGTTTCTTGTTTTTATTATTATTTTTATTATTTTTATTATTATTATTATTATTATTATTATTATTATTATTATTATTATTTTTATTTTTATTTTTA